AAGCAAAAAAAGAATTAGTTTTGCCTCCCAAAAAAGGGGAAAAAAAAAAAAAAAAAAAAAGACGTAGCAACAATAGAATTAGTTTTGCCTCCCAAAAAAGGGGAATACAAATAAAGAAACAAAGTAAATAAGTAATTTAGCATGCATAAGTACAATTTGCACAAATACAATTTGGAAGAAAAATAACCCAAGAAATACAAGCAGATGCTGCTTAATTTAATCACACTACAGACTAAGTTAATATGATCAGGAATCCAAAAAGTAAGTGCTCAAATACAGGATTGTAGAATTCAGAATGAGAAAAATGACAGGTGGTCAAGTTAAGTTAACTAACCAAAAACCAAAAACATACCATTATAGAATTGATATAAATTGGAAATATCAAGATATATAATAGACTTCACTGAAAACTGAATCAATGTCGTTATTAAAAGGCATAATCATAATGAATGTAGAGGAAAAAATGGAAAAAGGATAAAGCAAGTACAGAAAAGATGATAAATACAAAAACAGATCAAAGTAATCTAGAGACAACTAGTGTCCTGAAGGAGATAACCAAAGAAAATTTTCAAAATATTTAAAGCTGTAACAAGGAAATAATTTATGCAACTGATAGAAGAACTGAATCTGTGAATTAAAACAGCATATATTCTATCTAGAAAATTAATATTAATTAATAATTAATTAAAGATAAAAATGAAGTAACACAATGGAGACAAGTTCCACAGTTTAAGTTCAGGCAAGCTACGAAAACAAATAAACAACAATCCTCAGAAAAATAAAATAGAATCCAGAGTCATTAAATATATTACCTAAAATGTCCAGTCTTTAACCAAAAATTATTAGAGATGCAAATATGAGAAAATTTTAGCATCAAATAAACAAGTCATTTAACCCATTAAATGAAATAAGAAACCATGAATTCAAACTTGTAAATGAATAAATGGAAAGTTTGATGAGGAATAGGATCTTTACAATGTTTCAAAGTACCTATCCACAAGATAGATAAAATTATTGCAAAAGTAAAAAGGAGTAACTTTATATTGGGAAAGGCTGGCAGACACTACCACCTTAATGGAGTGATCAAAATAAACAGCAAATTGGAATTATGTGCCACATAAGCGGATGCAGTGAAAAGAATACAACACTTCTGGGATAATCCCACCAAAAACACATAGCATGGATCCAATCATGAGAAATTATCAAACTCAAATTCAGGGACATCCTATTAAACAACTGGCCTCTAATTCCTCAAAAGTGTCAAGGTCATATAAATAAACACAAGACCAAGGATCCATTGGAAAGTAAAGGAAAATAAAAAGGCAACATTTGTTTTTTGTTTGGGGGGGGGGATTTTTTGCTATAAAGAAAATTATTGCAACATTTGGAAAAATGTGAATGAAATCTGAGAATTATATAATAATACTGTATCAGTGTTAATCCCCTGATATAGATGGTTATATTGTGGTTATGGAGGAGGATGTTTTTGTTTGGGAAAAATACACACAAAAGTCTTAGGAGTTATACAACATAAGATAAACTACTCACTCAAACAAATAGTTCAGGAAAATAAAGTTCATTGTACTATTCAGACAACTTTTCACTAAATTTTAGACTCCTTCAAGATTAAAAATAAACAAAATCAGTAAGTAATCTCCACTTCAGTTCTTGAATATACACTCCTGTGGTAGGCTGAATAATGCCTGTTGGGAAAATGGGTTAGTTTGGTCAGGGCCCGCGCCTCAGGTCCAGTTGGGTGTGGTTCAGCACGTCCATTTTAGGCAAAGTGTGTGTGTGTGTGTGTGTGTGTGTGTGTGTGTGTGTGTGCGTGTGTGTGTGTGGAGTTAGTGTACATGCACACTAATGTATCTTTTTAGTTTTGTTGCTACTCTTGTGTTTTTTGGAAAGAGAGAGAGAGAGAGGGAGAGAGTAGTTTTAGTGAAGTAGGCAGGTGGGCGTCTGCCTCGAGCATCCGCCTGGCGCAGCCATGCTTCCCAACCTGTGGCTCCAGGGACCTTTTGGCCAGTTACCTAGCTCATAGATCTGCATGTAAGGGGTCTGGGGACCCAGCCTGGCATATGAAGGGTTTGTGACCCAGTCTGTGAATGGGCTTGAGGGGTCTGGGAGCTCCAGACCCAGTCCTAGTGCAACAATCCACCCAGTTGGCAGGATTACTGGCAGGTAAAAGAGCCCGACATCTGGCGTGGTCACCTAGCTTTACAATTGGACTCATGAACTGGATTAAGAGCTAAACAATTGGTGCTGTGAACAGGATTCAGCATTGGCATTAGCCGTGGCTCCACAATTGGCATCATCAGCAGGATTATGCCACACAGAATAATGCCCTTGCCCCCACAAGATGTCCACACCCTAATACCCAGAACTTGTGAATCCCTCATTTTACAAGGCAAAGGGCATTTTAAAGTGTGTTTACATTAAGGATCTTGAGATATGAGATTTTCCTGGATAACCCAAGTGGACCTAATATAATCACAAGGGTCCTTATAAGTGAAAGAGAGAGGCAGGAGAGTCAGAGGAGCTTTGAGGACAGAAGCAGAGGTCAGAATGATGTGATTGCTGGGGTTCAGGAGCCGAGGATTGTGAGCGGCATCTAGATACTAGAAAAGGCAAAGAAATTGATTGATTCTCCTGCACATACTGCAAACATCTTAACTTTAGCCCCCCCAAAATCCATTTTGGACTTCTGGCTCTCAGAACTATAAGACAATTAATTTATTCTTGTTTAAGACACTACATTGGTGGTGATTTGTTACAGCAACAAAAACAAACTAATACAACTCCTTAGGGAAGAAATATAAGGTATTTCTTTCAAAGTAAGAAGGTGATTACCTATACCTGAGTAAGATTCATTTACATCTTAGAAAAGATTGCAGAATAAAAGCATCAATCTTATGTAACACATAATAAAAATGTTTTTGCTTGCAGCTGGTAAAAGAATCTTTTGTGGGGAAAGGCCTGATTTCTGGATAATGTACCTGGGTAAGCACATTGCAAGTGAGCTGCACAGTGTGGAGCTGACAAGTCTTGCAAGTTTCACTGGCAAGAAGAAAACATCTTTGCATAACAAAGGAAACCAGTGAGGAGTGCAGTACTGAGCTGCTGTGGAACAATTAGGGGAGGGGAGGGATCCTGGAATCCAGGAAGTGGGCAGAGTGCAAGAGTACATCTCCTGAGGACTGCATGAATGCAATGCCAGGAGCTCCATGCTGTGGCCCTCACCCCAGGAATTCTGTATTAGTCAGATTTTTGGTGGGGGCAATAACAATCCTAAAGTCTCAGTGGCTTAAACAACAAACACTTATTTCTTATCTGGGAGTATTGGCCGTGCATCTGCTGGGACTGGCTGTGTGCCTGGTATCAACAAGGCTTGAGTTCAGATCTGTACCACGTGTGTCTCATTCTGAGACCCAGGCTGAAGAAGTCACTGCTATCTAAGCATGCTCTCCTCAGAGCGGATGGTGAGAGTGCAAGAAGGTGAGGGGATTCTGCTAGAAATGAGGCACCCTGTCACTTCCACCCATATTGCTGTGGGTCATAGTAAGTGACATATGCAAGCCAAGTCAGAGGAGAAGGGAAAAAGGTAAGGGAGAAGAGAGTGAATATTCACTGAACAATATTCCAATAATGAAAATAATGATACACATAGTGCTGTATATTGAACATCCACCCCAAACCTCATTAAAGGAGCACAGTGAAAACTGCATACAATGGATTGTTGTTGTTGTTGTTGTTTTCTTTTATTTTATTTTATCAATGTACAATGTAGTTGATTTTCATGTCCCTTTACCAATATCTCCTTTTCCTCCCTATTGTTGTTTTTAATGTAAAATTGTAAGTTCTCTCTGTAGGGAAAAAAAAAAAAAAAAGCCAAGCAAATTTTAAAAGACTACAAAAACAAGCCAAAAAGTTAACAAATGCTTTCTTTGGGTCATGAGGATACGGGTGACGAATTTTCTTTTTTTCTTTCCTATAATATGTATCACTGTAGAACTGCTAAGAAATCAAGAAGGCTTTATCAATGAATACTTGTAGATAAAAGAATTTCCACTTACACAGTATTATTTCTAATTTTTCCTCTACTTTGTAGCTGAAATGCATTTTTATTTTATGTAAATGTTCTAACACATGCCTAACACAGTTTTCTCTTACTACTATCCCATTCAATATTTTAAATACAAATTTTTCTTTGCCTGTAAAGAGAATACAAATCATATCTTTCCAACTGATGGTCATGATATAGATATTTGTCTTACAAAATTTTTCATGTCTTCTGAGATGAAAAAACTTGCTCTTCATTTAACAAACTTCTTCAAATGGGTAGTCAGTGAAAATGTTACAAAAGTTCACTTAACTGCTCCTTCAAAATAGATTTTTCTAATTCAAAGAAGCAGCAAAAGATCTGTAGAAATGAGGTTACACATCTAGAAAACAAATATTTGCAATGTCTTTATTTATGTCCAAATATTTTCACTCTTAAGTATATTTCTTAAATTTTTTGCTTCCTCTACAACACATTTATAATTTAGGATTGATACTTCTGCATTTTATAGTCACTGTTTTAAAATGATGTCCCCTTTGAAACTGACAGAAATACAACTTTTTAAGCTTTTACAATGTCTTTTGGTAATTTTCTTGACAATATTTCTAATATGCTTTAATAACAGTTTTATAATTGTTGTATATCTATTAAAATCTCTATATACGTACACAAATTTTGTTCTTTATAACTAGTTGAGAGACTATGGATAAAAAAAGATCTTAATCTTCCCGGATATTGTTACATTACATTTTCTGTCAATGCAGTGTCACAATATTTTAATCATAAATTATCTTTAAGAACAATTCTTAAAAATATTTGGCATTTCTAAAAAGAAAACTCTGTTTCAAATTTAAATGTTACTTAAGAAAGTTCCTTCCTCTTCTAAAAAAACAAACAAAAAATAACAGAAAAACTACTTGTTCAGTTCGTAACTTCTTACCTTCCTTCATTTCTTCTGTACCACGTGGAGTGCCCAAGGTTGTAACTTCAGAGAAAGATGTCTGTTTAACTTCCTTCTCTTTTCCATAATTAGCAATCAATTGATGGTATCTATCCATAAGGAGACAACATGTATGAATTCCAGCATTCATCAACATTTGATTCAATTCATAACATATAACGATGAAATTAAACCCTTAGACACAAGTCAGTGCCTTCCCAACTGTGTCGCACTCCCTCAAACTTCCTCTCAAGCCAACCCTGTCAACAGACACCATTTTTATTTCATGTACTCCCATTCTCTGGCACCTCTTTTCTTCCTGTTATCACAAATATGATTTTTTTTTAAAGCCATTAAGAAGGTAGAAAAAAATGGCTTTAAGTTATACCGGTGTATTTGGTGGCTAGGGCTGCCATAACAAAACACCACAGACTAGATGGCTTAAAAGAAAACTTATTTTCTCCCAGTTGTGGAGGCTGAAAGTTCAAGATGGAGGTGCCAGTAGGGTTGGATTCCTAGGAGGGCCATAAGGAAGGGATCCATTCAGGCCTCTTCTTGCCTTGGCGATGATGGTCCTCTTGCTTCACATAAGTCTGCATGTCCTAATCACCTCCTTTTATAAGGATACCAGTCAGATTGGATTGGGGCCCACCTCAATGGCCTCATTTTAATCACCACTTTAAAGGCCCTATTTCCAAATACAGTCATATTCTTAGGTACTGGGGTTAGGCTTTAACATGCAAATTTGGGGGGAACAAAATTCAGCTCATAGCACCTGGGTTTACCAGTAAATAAAGTGAAGATGATTACCTCGGTCAGAGAAATTTAGTGAAGAATAAACCTTTTCTCCATGCCTGAAAAGTGCCCATTCTAGTCAATGATTCATAGGCATATATGGTTTCAGAATTTCAGTGAAAAGAATAAAGAAATGTGTGGGTTAAAGCCAACTGTAAAATAAACACCTACATATAATTCCCTTATGTAAGACAGTTTCACTTATTTTTTTAAAACTACTCATACAGTTTGTTTCTCATAAAACATTATCTGTCCTTCTAATTCACTAAGCCGCAGAACCCGTGTACCAGGGAGGGGAGCTAACTAATTACGATGACAAGCAGAGGCCAGGTGCTTAAGTATGATGGACAGGCAATGTCACAATCACAGAAAGTCACAATCACAGAAAGCTTAGTTCCTGTGGCAAAATAGGGATAAAATACAGAAAAACAGGCAGGAGTAATTAGATCCCAGATCCTAAAGGTAATTGATTAATCATTAGGAGATTACCTTTCTTCCCTTTTACCTCCCTTGAAAAAGAGAAAAGTAATGTTATTCTCTTAGAATTTTCAACATTGAAAATATGAAAATATTGAAAGGATTAAAACTATGGTCAACATGCTTCTTCTACTTATTCCTAAATTAATGACGTAGAAAACTACAAAAAGAACTTTCTGTTTTACAAGCTATTTGGGGGAGACAAAAGAGGATAGTGAAATTTCCTTCTCATCTAACTACCCAATAATGGCTTACAAGATTCAGATGTACGCAAGTTATTTCAAATATACAAGTAGCATTTTGACCAATAGATGCATTACCTTGTTAAGTATGTGTGTCTCTTAGTTTCATAAATCCAAACTTTGTAAGTGATGGGGAAAATTTTATATTTAAAAGGAACAGTTGGGGATTCCTTTGATAAAGTGAAAAATCCCTTTATAGCATGAATATTTACCAGTAACTTATCTCTTTATTTTATTTAAATTTTTATACATATGATTTGCTTAAACCAAGGTAAAAACAAAGTACATAGGTCCAATATTACAAAGAAGGAATTATTGTATTCAATTATGGTTCATACATTTAATAAAATATGAATTCTTTAGTGTATAAGTTTCAATTAACACTTAAAAAACAAACATTTGAATGTATATATGATGATTTTTCTCCCCCCCAGCCTATGTTCTTCATGAGGAATTAATGATAAAAAGGTATTACTGAAATGTGAATAAAGTGGGTGGAAAAAGAATAATAATAAACTAGAAAAAATACCAATGAATAATTTTTAATTGTCTTTAAAATAAAATTATAAAGAAAATATTCTGTGTGTTATTTAACTTCATTAGCTATAAATTAAATTTCTGTTTATTGTATTTTATTTTCTCATTGATTATTAAAAATCAGAAATGCATGTTCATACATGAAAATGTTTTTTCTTCTGGGTGTAATGAGAATATACTTAAGAATTCTGAAAACTTATCAAACTAAAGTTAAGCTAATGAATCATTAACAATAATATTCAAAATATGAATAAAAACCTTATATTTCTAATATCTAAAAACAATGAAAGGGCCTTGCATGTATTAAACATTACTTGCCCAATGCTATTGCTGGTATGTTTTATTATTGGCTACATAGTCCAGCATACTTGCAATTCTCATGCCACTGGGACTTAATATGGAGACTAAGCCCACCTGCAACTTCTATAATAACTGAACCCTACAAATGGAGGAAATGAAGGATCCCTGGATCCAAATAGGTCTGGAGTTTGTATGTGATTATCCCTGCTGCTGAACCCATTCCAGCTTTGTACTGTGGGACTCATGCTTTGTTTCGTATAATCAAATCCAACACAATTGTTAAAAGATATGCAGTATCACTTACATAGTAAAGCCATTAAAAGATGCATATTCCTCAGCTGTGAATCCATAAATATCTTGGCAAGATAGCTCCACATCTTGCTGAAGAAGAATATTTACCAAATTTGTTGGTTCATCACTGAGAGCAATCATAAGAGCTGTTCTGGAGCAAGGGATATAAATAAATGTCTCTTTATGGATCTTAAACATGCATTTTTTAAAAGTAATTTTTCTCAAATGTAGGATCTCTACCAGGAAATGAGCCAAGGCAAGACTGTAAAAAGCAGAGCAAATCTGCTCAAAAAGGTGTGCCAATAACCGATCATATGATGGAGTCCAAAAGACAAAGTCTTTAGGAAGCAACTAGCTCAATGGTTTTCAATCTTTGCTTCCTGGAAACCTAGCATTTTCAAGATGTCTAAATTCCATGAAGGGCTCTGGGGCTCCTACCCCCATTTAACTACTGTGCTGGCCTTCTGTGTAAGATTTTAATGTTATAAATAATAATAATAATAACCTACCAATCTGTTCCAACGATTATTTTTTCAGATTGAAAGACAGATACTGGAAGTCTAGGTAATTTTCCCAAAATCATATGTCATATGCTCTTATCTATTCCCAATATTATATATTTCTCATCCTTGTAGGTTGCTGTAGTTATATGCTATTTTATGTAGCTTTATTAACTATACCTTTGATTTTTATCAGAAGCATTCACATCTGCTCCTTTCTTCAGCAGAAATTTTACCATTGTGGCATTTTTTTCAATAACGGCAAGTAAAAGTGGAGTATACCCATCCTGAAAAAATTATTTCAAATTGATTATTTAAAATATTGTACCAAATTTACATGCCTTTGAGACTTAAGTTCAATTTTTGAAAATGTGTGCCTATAAGAAACCTCCAAACATACACTTTAACATTTAGAAGATTTTAATACCTAACAAAATATGACTTCAAAGATCAAGAAAAAAAATTAGGGTTGGGTCAGTCAAAAAATTAAATCAAAGTTACTATTTTAGGCTTAATTGAAATTGTGGGCATGAGTGGCCTAGATTAATTAAGTGATGAGCACCTAGTATTTAATTTAAGTATTGCTTGCTATCAATTCACATTTGAAATGCTTTCATAATTAAGTTTCCATAGGATTTCATTTAAACTTCCAAGACTGGCACTTATTTGGGGCTCTTAAGTAGACAAAATATCAATGAACTAAAGTGTCAAGATGCTTAAAAAAAAAAAAAAAAAGGATCTATCAGTTATCCATAATGTCTCAATATGGTTATATTACTTTAAATATAATGTGATTTTGTAATTCAACTCTATTCTTACTATTATTCATGAGTATATAAATAGAAAAAAGATGGGTTTCATGATTTTTATCAACACCCATTTATAAGGGAATCAAATTATTTCTCATTTGATATAGCCCTTTGAACACTTAGCATTGTTAAATATGTTACTTTGGAGTTCAGAATTACAACCCGCAATGGAATGGAGAAAGACTTTATAAAAAGGAAAATTTTATCATTTTTTGATAATCTCATCTTCTCCTTTCCGATTTCAGTTTGAAAAATTTATTCTTTACATAACACTTATTTCAACAGACACAAATTATCTGCGATGAATACCCTCTTCAGTTGCTTCCTAAAATGTCAGTTGTTTTTTTTTCAATAGAAAACTACCTCATTTTTAGATTCAAGATCAGCTTTGTGTTCAAGCAATTTCTCAACTAATGAGACATTTTGACCACAGACAGCATAATGAAGAACAGTATTATAATGAAAATCCACCAGATTTGGGTCTGCACCATAGTTTAGAAGAATAGTAGCACATTTTTCCTTTTGATGCTGGACTGCCTGTCAATGCAACAAGAATACATGAGTAATCAATTTACTACTTAGGATATGATATATTAAAGTAATGTTTAACACTATGTTTGAATGTATGAAAATCAACAAAAGTTAACTAGCAGAACTCAAACACATTCCAATTGAAAAGGAAAAATTAGAACACACCTTAATCAATGCAGATCTGTTTTCACTATCCTGGACATTTATTTTGCATGGTTTCTCAGTTACGATAGATACATTAGCACAGGCCAAGTGTAAAGGTGTTCTGTGTTAATATAACAAAACACAAAGTTAGAGATAAGTCTTAGTTTAAGAAGGTATTATTCCCAAGAACAAAACAGACTGTATATTGTTAAGGTATTTGCTTCATATGCTTATTTATACAGTCATGTGTTGCATAATGATGTTTTGGTCAATGATGAACTGCATATAACACAGTGATCCCATAACATAATAATTCCTATTGTCTAGTGATGTCATAGCCCTCCTAACATCCTAGCACAATGCATTACTCATGCATTTGGAACTGGAACAGGAATGCATAGCTGAAGAAGAGGCAAGAGAAAAGGAAACTGTGGGAGAAGAAAAAGAAGATGAATCCCCAAGAAAATTCACAATGAAGGGTTCAGCAGAAGCTATTGCAGACCTTAACAAGCTCAGTAAAATGTATGAAAACATGACCTCAACACCGAGTAGTTTTTATTAATAGAGAAGGAATGTTTATGGTACATTATTGGCTTCTGAGTAAATCTAAGATTGGGGGGGGGGGGGGGGAAAAAAGAAAAAG